TGTCAACGGCCAGTTAAGGCATCACCCCTCCGGTGATACCCGCAGCCTGTGCTGGGACAGGCAGTGAGGCATGGAGGCACACCCCGGTGCCTGGGTGTCACTTGTCAACATCAGCCCAGGGAGAGGTCAGAGCGGTTTGTGTGCTACAAGCAATTCCCCAGCAGCGCTGGGTCTGTTTGTCCCATGGGGCAGGTGACCTCCTGGGGCTGGGGTGTCCCCTGCTGTGCCCCCTTCCCTGGCCCACACCCCACCGATTGATGGCATCCCAGGAGCTATAAACGTTTGTTTAGCGGTGTTGATGGCTCTAAGCAGCCTCGCAGCAGGCAGAGCATCCCAGGGCCCGCCCGTGCCAACAGGAAGGGTTTATTTTTGCTTGGGCTTTATTTTAGCTACAAACAATGGTGGTTACTCCCAGCATCCGATTTCCCCCTCGCCCCCAGCCTTCACCTGACGCGGGAGGAAGCGTGGCCGGGGGCAGGAGGAGGACAGGAGAACCGCGGCCACAGGATGGAAGTCCCCATCCACCTCCCACTGCAGCAGCCTCGCAGCGTTATGGTGCTGTGAAACAGCCTCTCCCCTCCGCGGGGCTCTCTTTCAGGCTGCAGAGCTGCTTTCCTTGGGGGTGACAACTCCACATCCATTGTCTCATCTCCCCCCCTCCAAAAGCTGGGTCTGAACACCAGGAAACTCCTGCTCTGGCTTGGCCAGAGCCTCTTCCTCCTCCTCCTCTTCCTCCTCTCTGCAGGTTGCTGGAGCAAGACCTGATTCCTGCTCTGTGATGGAGCAGAGGCCGAGGAGGGGGAGAAGGGCTCTGCAGCTGCAGGCTGTGCCTGGACCCTTATCTCTGTGCTGTGGAAACAGGTCTCTGGGGTGGGGGGGAGTTGTTCATTGGGTCTAAAAATAGAGCTGGCCTGGGTGCAGGGTGAAGAGGGGTGGTGGAGGAAACGCAGCTCCTTTGCCAGCATCGTGCTTGGTACCACTGCCAGGGCAGCAGAGCAAACACTGCCCTGTTGTGAACAGCAGCAGCGTCCTGGGGCTGGTTCCCTGCCTCACCCCACCCCAGCAAAGCTGCCCTGGCTGCCCCAATCCATCCAGCCCCAGTTAGTTAATGCTAAAGCCATCTGCTGCCCCGGCTCCTGGCCTTCCCAGGCTCAGGGACCTCACTGACATCTCCCCATCGCACTACGCAGCGCAACACGCTGCAAGCATAGAGGGGAGGGAGTTCCTGGGAGGGGAGGCTGGCACCGCTCCCTGTGTTGGGATGCCTGTGTCCAGAGCCTGATCCCAGCAAAGCAGTGCGATCCCACAGGATGTCAGTTGCAGGAGAAGCTGCAGAAGGAAGCAGGTGGGAGCCATTTGTCAGTACCAGAAGTGGGTGTGAGGCCAGAGGTGTCCATGTCCCATCAGTGGCTATTGCAGAAGCAATGTGCATTCCTTGCTCACTAGGTGACTATGGGTCAATCACATCAGTCCCCATCGCCCTCCTGCCCGGAGCAATCTCCCCTTGTTTCCTGTAGCCGCCCCATTGACCTGATCTACGCTGAAAGTCTAACAAGTGTAGGAAATGAATTCCTTCCCTTCCTTTGCTGGCCCTGAGCAGGGGCTCAGCTCTGCAGCTCTGTACCCTCCTGCTTTGCAGGCCTCTTTTACTGCCTTGTGTTTTGGAGGATGTTTAACAAGGGAGATGGAGGGGACAGCTCAGCTGTGGGGAACAAAGGAGCCCTCAGTGCTCACCCTGCTTTGTGTGCCCAGCTCAGCACTGGGTGCTCAGGGCGCTGTGATGTGCTCACCAGCCTGCCATGCTGGCCGCAAGCCTCCCTTATCAGCCACTCTCTTTCCCTGCGTGCAGCAGGGTCCCCTTGCTGCCTGCTTTGTCACTATTAATAGGAACCTTCCTGCTCTTTTGCCCTCAGCTGGTCTGAAGCCTTGACACAAGAGCTGGTGGCTGTGATGAGAGATGTCCTACACAGGGCAGGGGATGAGGGTGCTGGTGACCACCATGGCCAGGGCTTCCATGCGCTCTGTGAAACTGATGTAGGGAGTGCACGTGGTCCCCATCTCTTCTGTGGGAGCTTGTGGTTAGCTGAGAGCATGCTGAGCTGGGGCAGCAGGAAGATGGGTGTCTCTTTAGATGCCTGCAGGTGCTGGGTGGACAGGGAGCATCTTGCTTTTTGTCCCATCTGCTTTCTTTCTAGTCCCCTGCCCTGTCAAGCCCTGCAGGGGAGAGCATCTGACCTGGGCTGGAGACCACCACCACATTGCTGAGCAGGAACCTGCTCCCTTCCTGCCTGTGCTGCACTCTGCAGACATCCCAGGGAGCACTTTCCCTCCCTCCCTGCCTGTTCAGAGGGGCAAAGAGAGGGCCATGAGAACTCAGTGCTTACCCTCAATCACCATGCATGAGGTTCTTGCATGGCAGAGCAGGTCCCCACCCCAGGAGGTGCATGGTGGAGAGCGGCAGTGAGCAGAGCATCAGCAGGACCTGCATCCTGTGGCTGCCTGTCTGCTGTGAGATGCTTTTCCAGCCCAAGGAGCAGGACCCCCGCTTCCCTTGTGGTTGCCCTCTATTTTCCTATGGGCTGGGGGATGCTGTCAGCTCTGTCTGGAGCTGTGCTGAGGCTTCTGCTCCCCGCCTGTGGGTTACCTGTCCTGCTTTGGCCTGCCCACAGGAGATGTGCGCTGGCAAAGCTGCTCTTGCTGAAAGGGCTGAGGCTGCTGTTTAGCTTGGCGCTGGGGAGGGAGGAGGAAGCAGAAGGTCTGCGGAGATAGAAACCCATCGGCTGGGGCGGCAGGAAGAGACTTGTGAGGCGCATCCTGCCTTGTGTCCTGGGGAGGCAGGGATTTGGGGCTGGGCATGCTGTCTCCTTGCCCAGGGGCTCATCTTGGCCGGGTGCTGATCTGTATCAACCCACTCACATTTGGCTTCCCTTCAGCTGAAAACAGCACTCTGTTTGATTGCACTGTCCCTGCTTTGGGGGCAGCAGTGCCAGTCTGCTTCCTGCCAGTCCTGGGAGAATCACTCCATGCTCTGTGCCATGGCTCAATGGGTAGGAGGTGGGCACCCAAACTCCTGGGTCAAACTATAGCAGCCCAGTTTTGGATGGGTGTTGGGCAGGGTGGATGTGGTGGTTGGGTAGGGCCCAGCATAGGCCCTTAAAGAGCATGAGTGATGAGGATCCCGTCAGATGTAGCAGTGCAGCACTGTGCTCTTCCCCTGGGAAATACACCCCATGCCAGCCCTCACTGCTGTGGGATCCCAGTACCCGGTGGTGGGGATGGGTACAGCCCAGACAGGGTGTCCCCGATGCTCCATACTCCTGGGGCATTCTCTCCCCTCCTTGCCAGACATCTCCGTCAGTCAGCAAATCCAAGCTGCCCCTGCAATCACCTCTGGCCTCTCCTACTGTCCCTGGAGACCCAAGGCCAGCTGCATGCTGCCCCAGCTGTGCCATGATGACTTTTGGTTGCTGCCAAGGGAAGGGATCCTGCTCACACTTCCACTGGAAGAAATCACAGCTTTATCCTTCCCTCTGTGGCCTCATGGCTGCATGTTTGCTGGCGTCTCTGAACTTGGCCTCTCCAATGCATCTCCAGCAGGCACTGCATCCTGCAGGACTACCCTGGGCATCTGGGTGTACCCATGGTCCCGGGTAAAACAGAAACTTGACTTGGGATTCAGCTCAGTTCTGTCCTATCCTGCTCAGAGGAGATTGGTACAGGAAGAGACCTGGGATGAGGATGTGGTGCACTTGCAGAACTGGGAGTGTGGGAGCTCAGAAGAGATTTCAGGTCCTCCCCATCCTTCCCATCCCTTGCTAATGTGTTGGTCAGCCACTGCCAGCCCCATAAATACCACTTTCAGTGATTAAATTATGTAGCCATGCTCTGATATGCAAATACCCGAGTGTTTTCTGAAGCCTTGCTGCGTGGGTAACCCCACAGCTACTGGGTGCTAAAAAAATAGCCTAAGAATCACCACATCGGAAAGGAGACCCAGAACTTTGTGTTGTGCCTGTGATGGTGATTGGTGGCAAATTCTCTTTTCCTGCTTTTTGCTGGGCTCTCTCTGTCTCCCTTCTGTCTGCTGGGATGATGCTGTGCTCAGGTGCAGCAGCAGCCCAAAAGCTGGTGGGTACTGGGACTAGTGGTTGGACTTGATCTTAAAGCTCTTCTCCAGCCTAGCTGATTCTATGATTCCCACACACTGGAAAGCGGATGAGCTGTGGCTTCTGGTGCAGCTCCTCTTTGCCAAGATTTCCACTGTTCTGACCCTCTTGGCTGCATCTTGGGCTGTGTGTGTTGGACCAGCAGCATAGAGCTGGGTGGCGAGAGCCCCCCCCATGCTCCCAAGCACTTTTCAAGTGCCTGTGTTGGGAAGGGACTGTCAGCTGGGGCAGTGACTCCATGCATGGAGTCGGGTGGATGAGCTGGGATGATACAGGGGAGGAGTGGCAGCAGGGCAGAGGAGCTGCTGTTGGTGAGCCTCGGGAGGAAGGCTCTATCCTGTGTATGGGCACCATGTGGAGGTGGGCTGAGCACAGCAGAGGAATATGAATGTCCCCCAGCTGGAGGTGGCATTGCCAGGTGGCTCTGGAGATGGCATCTGGGTTTCCTTTCCTTCCTTTCTTCCTTCCTTCCCTCATCACCACCCAGGGCCCGTCACAGCGAGGGGGTACCAACAGCAGTGATGGGTGTCAGGCAGACAGAGGTGTAGTTTTATCTGCACGGAAAAATGTGTCCTCAGCCCTTTGATACTTTTCCAGTAGCATGCAGAGCTGGCGTTCCCATTCACAGGCTCAGCAGGCTGCATCCTGGTGTCTGCGTGCAGGTGGAAGAGCTTGTGTGTGGAAGGAGCACGTGTGCATTAGCAAATGCCGCCTGAGCCGTGCTGGGCCAGCTGGGAAAGATCCACATCCTGGGGCCTTCCATACGTTTCAGCCCCTTCTGCCTGGTTTTAACGCTACCAACCTGGCTGACGGGCTTTTTCCTGCTCTCTCCAGTGCTGGACCAGCTCCTGCCAGAGCTCAGCGTGTTGCTCAAGCTGCTGGACCATGAGTACCTGAGTGCCACCACGCAGGAGAAGAAGCTGGCCGTGTCCACCATCCTGCAGAAGCTGCAGCCGCCTGCAGGTCTGTGTCCCGCTCCTGTGGTGCCTGGTGTCTGTCCCCAGGGCTGGCGGCTGCCCCAGAGGGATCCTGACCAAATCCCCCGCAAGGCAGGAGCACGTTCTGCATGGCAAGAGTGCTCTGCCTCTGTGCCCAGTGCCCAGCTCATGCTCAGCTCCCTCGGGACACTTTGCTCCCTGGTCCTGCTTCCCAGCTTCATTCCGCCCTGGATGCAGCGGCCGGTGTCAGCCCTGCCATGGCTGCAGGGGGCTGGTCCTTGCGGAAGCAGCTCTCCACAGATGTCTTCCTGCCTGCTGAGTGCAAGGGTTTCTGTGGGAAGGCCAGGAGGACCCAGGGCTTCACAGCCTTCCCATCTTCCTGCCCTCCTGGGGATTCCTGGGTGCCTGCTCCAGAGAGGTGCCCCATGGCATGGTGGGGTGAGCTGAGCTGTGTCCTTGGGCTGGTGTCTGTGGGGAAGAAGGGTGCCAGTGCTTGTCCCAGCCACCCCCAGGCTGAAAGCATCCCTCTGCTCCCAGGGAAGGATGTGGACTACATGTATGTCAACACAGCATCCCTGAGCAACGGTACCAGCTTCGTGGAGTCTCTCTTTGAGGAGTTTGGTATGTCTTGGGGCCCCTGCTGATGGCAGGGCTATTGGGGTGCCCGGGGAAAGAGGGTGAAAGCTGTATCCTTGTATCTAGTGTGGGCATCATCACCCCAGGCACTTGCTCCCACTCCCCCATCGCTATTTGGGGCCTGGCCATTGGGGTCCGTGCACCATCAGTTGTTACCAGCAATGCCATCAGCCAGCACCCTCCCAGTGAAGGGCCATGGGTGATTGCCTGGGGGTCCCAGGAGGCATGGCTGGGGAGGGCAGCCCTGGGGTTTCCTGCTCCCTTCACCCTCTCACTTACCCCGGGCAGACTGTGACCTGCGGGACCTCCAGGACATGCAGGAGGAGGAGGGGGACACCGGTGAAGGTGCTGGAGGGGAGGAGCTGGCGAGGACCCAGACGGCGAAACCTGTGAGTCCCTGACTGCCCCGATGAGATCTGCTCTGCACCCGCACGGGGAGGTGGCGGTGGCCAGGGCTGGGACCCCTTTCTGTCCCGTGTCACCACTGGGACTCCTCTTGACCCGCTCTGCTAACGCAGTGGTGTCTCTGCCGCAGGCTCCTGTGGACCCTGCCCCACCACTGCCCACCACTCCCCCGCCTGAGGATTACTACGAGGAAGCCCTGCCCCTGGGCCCTGGCAAGGCCCCCGAGTACATCACCTCCCGCAGTGAGTCCTGCTCTGTGCCGGGGTGCAGGAGGCGGGGGGGGAGCCCCAAAATCTGCCCGCTGCACCCCCTGCCTGCCTGCCTGGCAGCTCGTCCTGGGGAAGGAAGCACTACTGCTCCCACCAGCGTTGATCCTGTCTTGTTCCCTTCCCATCCTGCTGTGCTGTTATTGCAGGGAGTTGTTCGCTCTGGTTTGATGGGGAAGGGAGTGACGGGGAGAGGCTGGATCCACAGGGAGCCGGTGATGATGCCCTGGGAAGCTGTGCTTTGCTCTGCCCTGGCTCACAGCTCCCTGCTCAGAGCATCCTCAGGGGAAAACAGCCCCTGTCAGCCCTCTAACAGCCCCTGCTGCCCCTTGCTTCCTCTGCAGACAGCTCCAGCCCCCCCAACTCCATCGAGGATGGCTATTACGAGGATGCAGACAGCAGCTACCCTGTCACCAGGATGAACGGGGAGCAGAAAACCTCCTGTAGGTATCTGGTGCCCTTGCTTCAGCAGAAATCCAGCCCTGAGATGGGGCTTGAGCACTGGTCTGGTGGCCGGTGGGGTTGAGGCTGGAGAACCTCTCATATCAGAGTGTGCTGGCCAAAAAAGCAAGGAGCGTGTGGTGCTGTTTGTCACGGCAGCAGAGCCCTTGTGCTGCAGAAGGGATGTAACTGGTGCTGTGTCTATCACCACCATGGGGTGGACTGTGCAGCTCTCATGACCTGTGTGAGCTGCCTTGGCCATGGCAGAGGAGGTCTGAGACACCAGTGCAGAGCCCTGCTCCTCCATGCCCTGTGTGGGAGGTGTGTGCAGAGGGCCAGCACGGGATGCTCTGATGCAGGTAGAAGGTTTAACCCAGGCTTTCAAAGTTGGAGCCTCACACAGAAATAAGCCATCCCAGGGGTTTGAACAGATGCACCTGGGACTGGCCTGCAGCCCATGAGCATCCTGCCTGGTTTGGAAGGGAAGTGGAGACTGCTGGGGTCAAAACACTGCTGTTTGCAGAGAATGACATGGAGTCCCTCCATTCTAGCACCCAGGCCAGGCTCTGCCCCAGAGCAGTGTGGAGGGGTGCTCGGCAGGCAGGACCTGGGGTGCCACTTGGGGTGACTCGCCTGCTTCCTTCCAGTCAATGACTCGGATGCGATGAGCAGCTCTTACGAGTCATACGATGAGGAGGAGGAGGAGGCGAAGAGCCAGCAGCTCACACACCAGTGGCCGTCAGAGGAAGCTTCCATGAACCTGGTGAAGGACTGCAGGATTTGTGCCTTCCTGTTGCGCAAGAAGCGCTTCGGACAGTGGGCCAAGCAGCTCACCATCATACGGGACAGCAAACTGCTGGTGAGCCCAGAGCTGCTGTGGGACAGAAACTTGTCAGTGGGTTATGAGGGTGGTTGTGTCTAAGCTGAAGAAGAATAGCACTATCCAAGCCAAGACCCTGCCCCAAGGCTGCCACTGCCCTGCAGCACATGCAGAAGTTGCTCTCGCTTCTATTACTAGCAAAAGGAGGAGTCCCCTTTCTGGGACCCCATGGAGTGAGGGGACATCCTGCAGCCCTCTGCCACTGAGGCTGGTGCAGAGACTGAGCCATCTCCATCTGTGCCACCCGAGAGGAACCCCAGCTCTGCCAGCGTCTGGGCTCTGAGCAGTTCCCTTTGCTTCCCGTAGTGCTACAAGAGCTCCAAGGACCGTCAGCCACACGTGGAGGTGCCCCTGGGCTCCTGCAATGTCATCTACGTCCCCAAGGACGGGCGGCGCAAGAAGCACGAGCTGCGGTTTTCGCTACCGGGGGCCGAGGCGCTGGTGCTGGCCGTGCAGAGCAAGGAGCAGGCTGAGGAGTGGCTGAAGGTACCACAGCCCTGGGAAAGGTCTTGCCCCCCTGGAAGGGGGCTTTGCTCCCATCTCTTATCGTCTGGGGGGCTGGCCAGATGCTTCCCAGGACCGGGGCGTCTCCGGTGCTGATAGCCCCCGATGTTTGCTCTCCCCCTCCTCTTCCCCATGGCCCTTTCCTGCCTTTGTTCAGGGGCAGGAGGCGGGGGCCATGGTGGGAAAGGAGCCTCTGAGCTCACCACAAACCCCGCTGTTACCCCACAAGTGGGAGAACAGGGTTGTTTTACACAGCCACGCTGTGCCTGCCTGTAAAACAGGGGGTCCTGGGGTGTCCTGTGCTGGCAGGATGACTGTGGCTCAGCACCCACGGCCCTCGCCTCTGATTGACAGAGATTCCCAAAGTCTCTGCCAAAATCTGCCAAACTAGTTGCAGTTTTGGAGGGGCCAAGGTGTGGGTCACACCTCAGCAAGCTGGGCTGGTGCCCTCAGCAGGGCTTGCTGGCCTGTTCTGCAAAGAACAGGATACATCCCAGGGGTTCAGCCTCGCACTGGCAGCAAGATGGGAGCATGCTGAGCCAAGGGGAAGGAAGAAGCCCTGTCCCTTGGGTCCATTTTGAGTGTCTGCTGGGGGCTGTCTCCGCAGGTGATAAAGGAAGCCAGCAGTCCGGCTGCAGGCGGGATGGAAGCCCCCACCTCCCCGATGATGCCTTGCAAGCTGGACCTGGATAAGGTGATGGCTTCTAACCACCTCACCAAAGTGCTGCATGGGGCTGCTGTGGCCAAGACTGGGGAATGCGGGGCTGGAAACACCGAGCTCCTGGCGCTGGGCGAGGAATCCTTCTCATCCTCACAGCAGCTCTGTGAGGCTTATGGGGCTCTGTACCCCTGGGGAAGGGGAACAGCACTCACCTGGTACCATGACACATCCTAGCCCTGCGCAGGAGGGTTGAAAGGCTGGTAGTGGCTGTTGCCTGGGGGCAGCGCAGAGGGATGCTGCTGACAGGGGGGATGCTGCTGACAGGGGCGATGCTGTTGATGGGGATGCTGCTGACAGGGTCCCTGCTCTGCTCTCCCGCAGCGTCTGTCACAGGAGAAGCACACCTCTGATTCAGACAGTGTGGCCACGGGTGAGACCAGCTCCACAGCAGTGCGCAGAGAGCCTGGCGAGCATGGTACAGTCCCTGCCCCAGCCGTGCTGACTGTCCCCCAGCTGAGGGTCATCTGTGTGCTCCATAGCTGAGAGCATCCTCTCCCCGTGAGGTGGATGCCATGAAACGCACCAGGGGCACACAGCTACCCTGTCTTCCTTCCAGGGAAGGGCAAAAAGAGTGGCTTGGCTGACCTGAAGGGCTCGATGAGCCGCGCAGCGGGGAAGAAGATCACCAGGATCATCAGCTTCTCCAAGAAGAAGCCTTCCCCCGAGGACACGCAGACCTCCTCCACCGAGGAGGACATCCCCTGCTGCGGTTCGTGCGGGTTGGGGCAGAGAGGGCTCGGCTCATGTGGGGCTGGAGCGGTGGGGAGCAGCATCCTTCCTCCCCTATAGGGGGCAGGCAGGGGGTAAAGGGGCAGTGGGGTGGGGGCAAGGGCATGGAGCTGCTCCAGGCTTGTGATATGCCTCAGGCTATGAAATGGTGCCCAGTCCCAGTTCTCCAAATAGCTGTGATGCCCAGGGAACCATGTTCCACTGTTACCTGTATCCAGAAAACAGGCTTAGGTCACTGTGTGGCACTGAGCTGGCACCTCACCTGGAACCAGGGTGTTCCTGATGGCTCTCTGTGGGGAAACTGAGGCACACAAGGACCAAAGGAGTAGGGAGCCATGCTGTAATCTCCGTGCAGCCATGTCTGAGACCCTTCCCTTGACCCTACCACCCCCAGGCTACCTCAGTGTCCTGGTTAACCAGTGCTGGAAGGAGCGCTGGTGTCGCCTCAAGGGCAACACCCTCTACTTCCACAAGGACCGCACTGACCTGCGGACACACGTGAATGCCATCGTGCTCCGGGGCTGCGAGGTGGCCCCGGGGCTGGGCCCCAAACACCCCTTTGCCTTCCGCATCCTTCGCAACGGGCAGGAGGTGGTGGCGCTGGAGGTAAGCAGGCAGTGGGGTGGGCAGGGGGTGTTGGGGACCATCTCCTGTGATGATCCCCACTTGCATGCAAGCAGTGCTGTGTTTTCCCCTCCCCTGCATGTCAAGGAAGCCCAGGGCTGGGGGTCTTGAGACCTCTTCCATGTGCCTGTGTGCTTTTTCATATGGACCCTCCTAAGTCTTGCACACACGCTTCATGTCATAAAGCGCTTCTCCACAGCAGGGCTTTGTGTTGGGAGACAAGAGTGAGGACAAGGGTTCGGGAGCTTGGCATGCACCCCAATCCCTTTTCTTCCCCATAGGCAAGCTGCTCCGAAGACCTGGGCCGCTGGCTGGGTCTCCTCTTGGTGGAGACGGGCTCACAGACAGCACCAGAGGCCCTGCACTACGACTATGTGGATGTGGAGACCATTGCCAACATAGTGACGGCTGTGAGGCACTCCTACCTGTAAGGCTGTCCTCCTGCTGTGCTGTGGGCTGGCAAGGGGCTGTTCTGGGGGCAGAGCATTGGGCTGGGAATGGAGATCCTCACCCCTTGTGCTCCCTAGAAAAGGCCTAGACTGGGATACTGTTTGTGCTGTGATGGTGGGGAAAGCCACTGCCCCAGAGGTTGGGCAGCCCAAAGCAGGGCAGTTTCCCTTGTAAGGAATGGAAAGCATAAAGTGTTTCATCAGTGTGGATGAAGGACTCAAGGGATATGTGTGGTAAGGCAGAGTAAGTAGGGTAGGGTAGAGCAGAGTGCTCATGAGTGAAGCTGAGAATGCAATGCGGGAATCCCTCTGAGATGAAATGGCTCAATGTGGGGCTGGCAAATGGAAGTGAATACCCCATCTCTCCTCCTGCAGGTGGGCCAGCTCCTCCCAAGACCACCAGCCAGACTCCTCCCGTGTGGTGTACGATGATGTCCCCTATGAGAAGGTTCAGGTGGGTGAGGCTCCATGGCTTGCCCTCTCCCACCACTGTGGCCAGGCTACAGAAGATGCTCTGTGACGGCCCCATTGGTGTTACAGCACGGTGTCCTCCTGTCCCACCGCAGGCTGAGGAGCGGCCAGCAGGCGCACAGGTGAAGCGCCATGCATCCTCCTGCAGTGAGAAATCGCGGCGGGTGGACCCACAAGTGAAGGTCAAGAGGCACGCGTCAAGTGAGTGGGGCCCTGAGCCACGGAGCTCCATGGGGACCCTGGCCAGGACCAGGGGATGCTGCTTCCACAAGGGGGTCTGCAGCCAGGCTGGGGCTGACCGGCTCTGGCACACGGGTGATGGGTTGTGCTGCGCCAGCTCAGCTGCCACCGGTGCTGCTAGACCTGGAGCCTTCCTGACAGGGTCTCCTTGGGCATGCAGATGCCAACCAGTACAGGTATGGTAAGAACCGGGCGGAGGAGGATGCCAGGCGATTTCTGACAGAGAAGGAGAAGCTGGAGAAGGAGAAAGCATCGATCCGCAGCGAGCTGGTGTTGCTGCGGAAAGAGAAGCGAGAGTTGCGGGAAGCAATGAAGAGCAGCACGGGTAGGTTGGTGCCATCCAAGTGCTGCAGCTGCGGCTGCTTGAAGGCACTGTGGCGCAGAGCTGGGGACACTGGGCTGGTGGTGGCACTGTGGCTGTGAGCCAGGCTGGCTGCAGCCCGCTGGCAGGCTGGCAGCCCCATCTAGTGTCCCAACCCAGGAGGATGGCTGGCTTCTCCATCCCTGGGCAAAGGAGCTGAGCTGGTGCGCTTGTGAAAGCAGGGCCGAAGCTGCAGGAGCTGGAGCAGCAGGTGGCGGTGCTGGAGGAGCAGTGCCGGCAGAAGGAGGAGGGACGCGTCGATCTGGAGCTGAAGCTGACCGAAGTTAAGGAGCGGCTGAAGCAGTCGCTGGCGGGAGGCCCGGCCCTGGGGCTGGCTGTGACCAGCAAGGCTGAGAATGGGGTATGCATCCTTTCTTCCTGCTTCCAGCTTCCCCTAGCAGTGGTGCTTGGGTGGCGGGGGAAGCAGCACATGGAGAAGAAGGGATATCCCTGCCCCTTTGTCTCATTGTGGACACAGGTGGGAAGCAAAGCATCGGTTAGGTTTGGTCACATCAGTTTTGACCTCAAGACAGTTTGTGCTTTTTCTTCTTCCTGACTGTCCTTGTTCCCTGAATCTCCTAAATCCTTGTCCTTCTTGCTCCCTCTTTTCTCCAGGAAGCTACAAACAAGCCAAATGGGAGCACCCCTGAGCACCTGGTCCCTGTTAACTGTGCAGCTGAACTGAGGAAAAGAAGTCCCTCCATAATCCCTGCCAACAAGGGGAACGTGCTGCGGAAGGCCAAGGTCCTGCTTCACTTACCCTCTCCTCCCTGGCCCCATGGGAAATCTCAGCCTTTGCCCTGTCCCCTTTGCTTGATCGTGAAATTGGGGGATTGGGGTTTGGCTCCGTACCCCAAAAGCAAAGGGTACTGCCAGGGTCCCCTGCAGCCAGGCTGACCCAGCTCAGAAGCACTCACTGCTGGCATGATCCCAGCCTGCAGGGAGATTTGGGAAGTGCAGGCTGGGTGGCAGGGGCTAGAGCATTGCTTTTACAATGCCTAAGGCAGCAGTAACCCCAGCCTTTGAAGATGCTGAACTGGCCCAAAGCCCCCAGAAGGGAGGGATGCCCTTGAGCTCAGTGCTCACTTCTCCAGCAATGTCTCCTCATCCGCTGCTTTTTGTCCTTTCTCTGCAGGAATGGGAAAAGAAGCAGACTTAAGCCAGGCTGCAGGAATGCCTGCCAAGCCCCAATGGACACTGGGGCTCATGGAAGAGCTACAAGCCCCCTTTCTCCAAGGCACATGGGGCGAGAGACGCTGTCCCACACCCCACCACTGCAGCACCATCTGCCTCGTGGGCAACACTATGAACCATGGGGAAGGGGCGGGAGGGGGATCTGGGAGGCGGGTGGGGAAAGGGGAGTCCTTTCTGGATCAGGGTCACATATTACTGGGAAACCCATCTCTGGGGGAGCCTCCCTGGGGCAGGAGTTCAGCACAAGATGCATAAGGAAGGAGAGGGGTGTCAGTCGGCACTGCCTGCGTGCACTGTGATTTATCAGGATCAGCGTGTGCCACCCTGGGGATGCTGGCAGCCAGTCTAAAGCTTTTCAAAGTGACCACAGACTTGGGGTTTTTTTGCCCCCTTCAATGTTGGAGTTCATGAGCTGCTCAGGACCGGACACTTTGGAGATGCCGATCATTTGCCCTGCTCACTGCTCCCAGGTCTGCGGGATCTCATCTCAGGGTTCCTTATATCTCAAGCTCAAATGCCCTTGTCCAGTATTTCCTTCTTGTCTTGCAAGCAGTAAGGGTGAGGGCATGCTGGCTTCCCTTGGGAATGAACAAAACTCAAGTGTCAGCATTTGAAAGCAAATTAACAATGGACACTCTTCAACATTGCTAAACAGCTTAGAAGTGCTGCAAAGGGCTGAGGCTGAAGGCAGCCCGGCTCTCTCTTCCCTAGCCCCATGCTAGCTTCTGGGGGCAGCAGGGAAAAGGGACAAGGCTGTCTCCCAGCCAACAGCGCATTCACACTATTGCTGCTGCAGTCAGATACAGTTTGGCAAGGCATGTGGTCAAAATGGAGTGAAGGGAAGTTTAAAACAAAACACAAAAGACCAAAAAAGGTGCTTTCAAATGAGGGGAGGAACAGAAAAGAGAAATGGAGGAAGGTCAATTAGCACTGGCAGAAACGAGGGATAGGAGTGAAAAGGAAAGTTCCAGGCTTTTGTGCCGGGAACAAGGGAGCAGGCCAGTCACCCACTCATGCTAACAGCTGCACCATTAACCTTTGGAGCTCTCTCTCAAAGCCCTCTTGTTGGTAACCAGGTAAGCAGCTTTCAATAAACACGCTGGCACCGGCCTGCCTGCCCTAGCCCTGCTTCTAGGGGGAGGGTGGGTAAAATGCTTCTCCATGGGGAATGGGGTGGGCTCAGCACCCCTGCAGCACTGCCAGGGGCCAGGATGGGGGAATCTCAGACTGTCAGCTCAGAGCCAGGATTTTCCGGCTGCCCACTCCCAGGGATAAGGTGCAAGAAGCCCTGCTGATGTGCTTGTACTTCCTATCAGCTTCCCTGTGCTGGCTGTCACGGCTCCTGTCCCCTCCAGGCCTGCAGCTGCACCACCCCATTTCCCATCAGAAAAGGGTGAAAACCCTCTTCTCCAAGTTTCACCTCTCCCACTAAGGAGACAAGGAGCCTGTGCCCACAGTGGGCAGAACTGGAGCTGGACCCCACTACAGGCATATAATAGAATCACAGACTGGTTTGGGTTGGAAGGGGCCTTAAAGCTCATCCAGTTCCAACCTCTGCCACAGGCAAGGACACCTTCCACTAGAGCAGCTTGCTCCAAGCCCGTGTCCAACCTGGCCTTGAACACTGCCAAGGATGGGGCAGCCACAGCTTCTCTGGGCACCCTGTGCCAGCGCCTCAGCACCCTCACAGGGAAGAGCTCCTGCCTAAGAGCTCATCCCAGTCTCCCCTCTGGCAGGTTAAAGCCATTCCCCTCCCGTTGTCACTACACTCCCGTTAGATCCCTCCCCACCTCTGACTGACCCGTCAAAGGCACACCGCCACCGCTTGGGGGATTTTTACTGTTTCTTTACCAAGAGGTAAGAAGCACCATTTCCTCCACCTCGGGTCCGCCCGCTGGGCCAAGCCGCTTGGTATTTGCTGATCAAGAGCTGAACCCATCCCGTTATCACCCCTCAGCTCACAGCCACACCACCCCGATGCACCGCGCCGCCAAACTCGGCCCGGCCCGGCCCGGCCCCGCTGCGCTGCCCGCCGGGCCTCGCAGGGGCTGCCGGGAGCTGTAGTCTGCGGGCGGTGGCGCTGCGCTGCAGGCGGCGCCGTGGCTGTGCGGGGCCATGGCCGCCCGCTCCGTGCGGCGGCTCGGCAGCGGGCTCTCGCTCGGCGGCGCGGCGCGGCGGGGCAGGTACGTGCTGCGGTGCGAGTGTGGGAGCGGCCGCGTGTCCCCGCAGCCGTTCGCGGCCGCGGCGCTGAACCCTCCCCGCCCCGCGGTGCGGGACGTGGCAGCCCCGGGCCCGGGCCTGGCGAGGAGCCGCGGCGGCGCCGGGCCCGGAGCGCCCGGCGGGTGTGGGGCGGCGCCGGGAGGGCCCCGTACCCCCGGGAGGGCTTCAGTTTCCCCTCACCAGGGCAGCGCTGCCCACCGTCAGAAGGCCCGGGACAAAAACGGGCTCGCAATAATCAGTCTCTTGTCTGGAAACGTGTCATTTTGAGGAGGAATTAATTGTAATTCCTAGCGAAAGGCGTTTCTGCGGTCAGTGAGCCGCGGTGTGAGGTTGTGTCCTGCCGTTACACGTATCCACGGGTGATTTCTGCATCTCTTCCTGACTGTCTGAACCATTTATGCGTGAATTACATGTTGCATGTGCTCCTTGGGGTTTATCCTCGGTAGTGATGCGGCACCTGTGCTCTCAGCGTGCTCTGGATGGATGAGGGAAGAGGATACGTTTAACTGGGCCGCTATTGAGCAGAAAAAACAGTGTCCATTCTTATCTTTGGACATGGTGGGATATGGCTTGTAAAAGGGAAATCCATAACAGGTGCTTTGGTTATTGGAGTAAAATGTGGGCAGAAAAGTTTATTCTATGTTAGTTTATTCTAGAGGGGGTTTTCCCGTGGAAGAAAAAAAAAGACCATTTAAATGCATTAAAATAATTCTGCAGCATGTAATAGAAGCAGCGGTGTGTGGGACTAGATGTAAAGGTGCTTGGTGAAAGTCATCCCTTTATATGCTCATATATATGTGAAAACTGTTCACAGTGTGCGCCAAGTTGGAAGTAGGTGGCTTTGATGGGAGCTGATCCACAGAGGGTTGCTTGTGCAGCCTGGAGAAGAGAAGGCTCCGGGGAACCTTAGATCAGTTCCCAGTGCCTAAAGGGGCTACAAGAAACTTGGAGAGGGGCTTTGGACAAGGGCCTGTGGGGACAGGCCAAGGGGAATGGCTTTAACTTGACCCAGGAGAAATTGAGATGAGCTCTTAGGCAGAAGCTCTTCCCTGTGAGGGTGCTGAGGCGCTGGCACAGGGTGCCCAGAGAAGCTGTGGCTGCCCCATCCCTGGCAGTGTTCAAGGCCAGGCTGGACACAGGGGCTTGGAGCAACCTGCTCCAGTGGAAGGTGTCCCTGCCTGTGGCAGGGGGTTGAATCTGGATGAGCTTTAAGATCCCTTCCAACACAAGTCTGTGAGTCTGTGATTCTATAAACTCACTGCAGTCAGGAGCCTGCTGCCCAGTTTAACTCTGTCCTGTGTTAAGGTGCAGTTGTGTGCTCCAGTTCCATGGGAGAGGAATCCACATAGAATTGATCTCTGGTATCACTTCCTGATGAAACTGAGCACAGTAACTGGGGGTCGTTAGGAGACTTCCTGCCAAAGCAAGCTCATGGAGTTAAACCACTGCTAATGCAGATGTTTCTGTGTGTCTCACCACTTGCGTGCTTTGTCATGCTAATTTGGGAGGAGGAGGGAGTGTTTAAGGAGAGGTGTGGTAGGACCCTTGTGTTCAGAGGGAACAAGACAGTCTTGGAACATTTCACCATCGTGCCTATGCTCCAGAAAGAGGTGATACTGTTGTTCTGACCACAGAGGGGTGTTCTGATCGCGTAAATTATGATCTTTAAGGACAGTTGGCTTAAGCCATGTGGCTACAGTCAACTTGTCTGCTACATCTATCTGTCTGGTTTTGTGACATCACTTTGTAAATCCTTCTGTATCACCAGCTTAGTTGTATAATCCCTTCACATGCTCTGGGACTTCCATGTGTCTGTCACTTTAGGATGTGTCAACTTCCTCCAGGGGGATTTCTGCCTATTTTTAGGGTGGCTGTGATCAAGACTGTGTTTGAAGATGGAGCACAGTGCAGTGGACAGACTATAAATGGCACTTGCCCATTTTAGTGGCAAGGAAGATGTAAATTGGGTGGCATTTTCAATTCTGCATAATAAGAATTTCCTTTGGAGTCAGTCTGTGGTTCTTGCATCCTGCCTACAACTTTTAAGGCAGTTCGTCTGAGCAGCACACGATGCATGGGGCATGTCACTGCATGGGGGAATGCTCTGTGGCTCGGTTTCAGGAGCTGGAGAAAGGAGTCCATGCAGGCAACTCTCTGCTTCACGTAGGCAGGTCCCTGCAGCTGAGGCACCAGCTCATTCCTGCCCCTCTCCTACACACCAAAACACACCCATTGGAGTAGTGTAAATCACTTGCAGAGGGAAATGACGCACCTTTGTTTCGTGGATGCAAGAGTTAACTCATTTGTGTAGCTTTTTTAAGGCATGAGAGTCTAACCTGTGGGGTGCCTGCCAAGGCTGCTTCCTCAGCTGCATTTCAGGTTCCTTGCTTCATCTGTAGCACGGCCAATTTCCGTCCCTGCAGCTCTTTAAGTGAAAGGTAAGATGGTAAAGGACAGAGCTTGTAGTTGGTGCTTACCATGGACACACCTTTTATTTTACAGTGGAAGCTATGCAGTTGTTTAAAGCTTCATGGATTGATTTTGAAGCCTTGGTGAAGGGGGTCCTGTGTCCTCACCTCCAATTTAGTCTAATTTCTGTAACTTAGAAAAAGTGCTGTGTTAACCAGTCAACACACAAAGGTGGCAAGCATCTTAGAAATCATTCGAGATGGGGTCTTGTGCCTTAAACTGATCTCTGCAGCCAGGGATAAAATATGGGGTTATCTTCTGTGTTGGCATTCCTGAAACCCAGAACTGCAGTGGCTGGGTAGCTCTTTTAAAAAAGCCTGGTGACAGCCCCTCTCCTGGTTCTTTAAAGATTAAATGAGAAGAACATCTTATTCTACAGCAAGTGTAGGTAGCAGAAGCACTTTCGGACTAGTATTTGGCATGCAGTGTGCTGAAAAGGAACGGTTTGACATACAGATCGTGTTTTAAGTACTTAATAAAAAAATTCATATGCAAATGCCTTCAGTTGGGAAAAAGGAAGTTTGTCATTAGTGCTGTATTTAGCAACCTTGTACTAAAGATACGCTGAGGCAACATCTGGGCTGTTAAATTTGGGGTGATGGGAGATGCTAGGGCACATATAAACCTCTTAAACTGTGCTTTGGTCAAAGAGCCCTGGCTGCCACCCAAAGGGGGACACCTCTTCCCTTCCCCATATTCTCCCTTCCACATGTCACCAGGCTTCATGTCTCCTGTACTGGCACTTGCACTCATCTGATCTGTCAGCAGACCTATTCAGGGACACAGAAAAGTCTTTTTGTTTTGTAGGGTTAGTTTTCAGCTGGTTTAACTCCCTGCAGCTTCATTCTGCACAGCTCTAGTACTGAAGTAAGGGGAGCAAAACATGTCCCTTCCATTTGCTGCTGTAAGCTCAGCTTAGCTGGACTACTGAACTGCACTTTGGTCTTATGGTCCATTTGACAGACCCAGAAACAAATGATGGACTCTTCTGTGACATTGTAACTGAGCAATATAAGCCTTGCTGAAAAGTAAGAAAGCTTTTAATGGTGCAGGCCTGGTATTGTGAGCTCACTCTATTGATTGTAGAGCCTGAATTAGCATCTCTGGGCAGTGTTGAATTGTGCTGTATAAACACACAAGTTTGAGTCAGAGCCAGCACAGTGATTTCCGTGCCATGCTTCATTTGACTCAGTAGAGGTGCACTTAGTATATGCAAAACCCCTCTATTAAAGGGGATGTTGAAAGCCCTGCTCAGAGGAAGAGCTCAGGCATTCCCAAAAAAGGAGATACCCTTCCTTGTTAAGTGTATACTGAAGTGTTTCCTGAATGGAGCTGATCTGGAAGGAAATTGAACTTTCTTCTGTACACCTATTCTAGGTCTAGACCTGTATAAAGTCATGAGAGGGGAGATGGGCTGAGGCTTTG